TTTGATATCATAGATAGACTTCTACCCCTCCATTTCAGTAGAACTATTACTTAAAAGCTTAGACTTTGCTAAGAATTATATTAAGCTTACCGATGATGAGCATAAAGTTATAGTAGCATCTGGACAATCTATACAAATGTATATAACAAATCTTTCTCGATAAAAAGTAACAATAATATCTTCGATGTTCCTATGGGAGCATACAACTCTGCTCAAATAGCGGACTTAGTAGGGATATACATATTAGCCACATTCAGTAGGATTATTAACCACAACCAAGTAGACGATGGTCTCGTACTTACCCCAAATATTAATGGTCCCCTTTCTTCCAAATTACAAAAAAAAAAAAAAAAATCATAAAGAACTTTCAATTTCTGGGATTTAAAATCGATATATCTTTCAACCTCAAAATAGCAAACTTCCTATACGTTACCTTCAATCTTTCCAATGATACTTTCAAGCCCTTTTCATAAAAAAATCAAACCCCTAGATATATCAACGTCCAATGTAACCACCCGGTATCAATTTTAAAATAAATTCCTAACATTGTCAATACCAAGATCAACAAGATATAATCTAACAGAAAAAGTTTTAATGAAAATAAATTCACATATAATCAGGCCTCTAGAAAAAGTAATTTCACACAAGAGCTAAATTACCAACAAGATCTAAAAACAATACCCCTAGAAATCTAAAAATAGAAAAAAGGAAGATAATATTGTTTAATCCATCCTTCTGCAGTTTATCCAATATCAATACTGACAAATATTTCTTAAAATTAGTAGACAAACACTTTATTAATAATAACAATCCTTTGAAGAAAATTTTCAACAGAAAAACATTAAAAATCACTTACTCATGTGTTAGTAATATAGAAAATATGATTAATTCCCACAACAACCATCTCTTAAGAAACTTCCACGACAGTGAGTCACAGAGTCACAAACCTCCCTATAGCTGTAGGGCTAAGGTTGTTTGTCAAGTGGGACGGATTTGCACCTCGGAAAATGTGGTGTATGAAGCTACTATTTTTCCAAAGGGAAATGTAAACCAGAAAAACATTTACATCGGAATTTCAGCGGGACATTTGAAACAATATTTTTGCAATCACCAGCATTCCTTCAACAACAAATTCTCAAGACAACAGACATCCTTGTCAAAACATTATTGGGACTTTATTGATGGAGGCTTTCCCCCATAATTAAAATGGAGGATCATCTGTAAGCCTCGAACTCCCAACAACTTCAGGGACAGATGTGATATCTGCATAAACAAATCTGATAATTAAATTTGAAAACACCAACGATATACTAAATCAACGAAATGAACTCGTCCTCAAATGCAGACACAAGAATCGCTTCGGATTTCTAAAATAACATCTATTTTAAAGAAAATTAACTGAAACTTAGGATTTTGGTTGTTTTACATGTACTTGTGCATATGTATATGTGCGGATACGTGTGTATGCATGTCTAAGGATATATACATACATATATATATATAGATAGATAGATACATTTTGTTTTACCCTTTCTTATGCATAAAATGCTAATGGGTGATAAATCACATAGGCAGAATTTTCAACTATCATCCTTTATGTAAATTCCCTCCCTACATCACATGTGACCCCATTTTACAAAAAACTCTCTTATCTGGCCATCTATTGCTTACGCATTTCTCTTCTTTATGTACGCGTATGCACAAGCATGCAATTGTATTTCTTTGTCTTTGTATCTGTGTTGGGACATATATTTTTGTATAGGTACAGTTGTGTATTCATGTGCTGTATTCTCTCATGGGCATGTACATAGATTAAGCGTTGCGTGTATATCTGGGTACACGTGATGGCAAGCATTCCTAAGTGCCTCTTTAGAGTTATACGGTTAGGGATGTATTTGAGGACATCTTGCATGTTATTTAAGTACTTATTTAGGAATGCACTCGTAAAGTATGTGTTTATGGATACACATAGATATGTGATTATGAGTATATATGTGTGGGTATATATGTATGTGTGAACACATTTAGGTGAAAACATATGTGTAGATGAGTGAGAATATGTGTATGGATGTAGGTAGTTATGTGTATGTGTATATATATGTGCCTATAAAAGAATGTGTATGTATGTAGGGATATGGATTTGTGTGTGATCTTTAGTTCTCCTTTCCTTTCTCATCTTTCCTTTCTTTTTCTTTTTTCTTTGTATCCCTCTTGAAAAATCATCTCCACTCCCTGCACTCGTCCGGTGAATAAGAGGTTACTACTACTATCTCTTCTCCTAGAGACTTATCTGCAAATTTCCTTTCATTCCCTTCCTACTTTTTAGACATATTTAAAAAAAAATAACTTCCGTTAATTTTGTATTTCGTTTTTCGTTTGGTTCCTGGAAGAATTTTTTAAATCAATTCGTTGTTTTGAAACCGCCAGGTCTGACGAAATAAAATATTACCATGGATTTCTGAAGTTTCCGGTTTGTTTCCCAGACTCCATGAATTCAAGCGCCGTACGAGGCTGGCATCCCGCTCTCACCCTTTCACTGTAGAAAATTTTAAAATGTAGCCGTCTCTTCTACTCCAATAGATTCATACCTCGCGCCTCTCGCCTATGGAACACCCTTCCCAATTACTGTTTCCCCCAGAGCTATAATCTCCAATTATTCAAATGTAATGTCAATCGACATCTCCAGTTACCTTGATCTATCCACTATCCCTCTCCTCATCCTTTCTTCTATCACTCCTATCTGTTCTCGCTCCCAAATCTTCTGCAACCCCTGCATCCTAGTGGCTTCACGCCTTGCTCGGGGCGTAATGCTTAAATATATATATATATATATATATATATATATATATATATATATATATATATATATATATAAAGACATTTTTTATGTTTAAACGTTCTTTTTATAGATACAAATATTGAAGTAAATGCTCTGTTTATAATAAACAGTATTAACAACATTTACCAGCCTGAATGTCCGAGAAATTTTCATAGAAAATATGTGTCCTACGACAGGAATCGAACCTGTATCCTATACGGAACCGTCATATAGCCAGACGTGCCTTAACCCATTGTCGGAGAACGCATATTTTCTATGAAAATTTCTCGGACATTCAGTGTTGTTAATACTGTTTATTATAAACAGAGCATTTACTTCAATATTTGTATCTATAACAAGAACGTATAAACATAAAATGTCTTACAAATAAATGTCGGACTTTGTCCATTTCATAATATATATATATATATATATATATATATATATATATATATATTCTGCTTGTAGTTTTTATGGATACACTTATTTGAGAAAGTACTCTTTTTTTTTTTAACTAAACAATATTAATTATATTTACTAGTTACCAACCTGAATGTTCGCGAAATTTCGGAGACGTAGAAAAATATGCGCCCTCTGACAGGTATCGAGCCTGTATCCTATACGGAACCGTCATTAATCTTGACGTACTATGACTGCCCAGCCACAGAGAACTTCCGGTTTAGCAAAGCTCGAATTACTGCTTTTAAACGAACACCTTCACCGAGAATACTGTTTAATTAAAATAATAGACATTTTACTTAAATAAGTATATCCATAAAAACGTATGCACAGAAAATATATTAAAATATTTGCCGGATTTAATCCTTTTCAGATCACACATACACACACATATGTGTGTGTGTGTGTGTATGTGTATGTACATATATATATATGAGAGTGTGCAGCTTATATATTATATCATAAAGAAGTAATTTATACAAAGAATTAAATAGCAATGTTAATGTGAATAATGGTGAAATCACTTCGCTAACAAGACTTAATGAGACATTAACTTACTATCAATTCCTCGAATAATACCATCGTTATATATGAGTTGTTGTCAGATGGAATTGACGAGCCAAGTTGATTTATCACTTTTCAAAATTCTAACAAAATTGTCACTTGAACTCTAGCCTCGCGGCATCGCACGCACCACAACATAAATAGCAGAATTAAAAATATATTTCGGGCTACACTACACATAATTCGTTTGCCTATATAGGGAATAATTGCACCCTGAAGATGACAATTTGAAATTGTCGAAAGTACTTGGTCTGTCAGTTCCATCTGACAGGCAATATTTGGATTGTATTTTTCAAAGGAATTGATAGTAAGTTAATGTTTCATTAAATCTTGTTAGTGAAGTGATTTCGCCATTAATCAATCAGACAGCATTCGTTCTCAATTTCCAACTGCCAATTTTAAGCATATTTTTTTTTTTTGTCGGACTTTTTGTTTTGTTTTTCAGAATAATTGCCTATGGACAATATGTCCCCGTCTCAATTTGTGGAAGAGGCATAGGGTTCTCCTTGGAATCTATACCGGAAGGCCAAACAAGGAGATTTCAGACTTCTTCAGCTTCAACAGAAGGAGGGCCAAAAAGGTGAACTTGTGATGATATCTATTGTCCTAGCAGTCTACATAGAACAACTGGGGGTTTGTCACCCGATCAACTAACGGAACTCATCGGTCCTCACTTAATTTTCGTGATATTTTTTTTTAACCAAAAGAGAGAATTACTCTTTGCGTCCCTACACCATCAAATACGATAATCTCGCTCCATATCAACAGGCTACATGAAAACTTTTATTATTTATTTGGCTGAGCTAGCTCAGGCATTCATGACTTTATCACGCCAAGGTCGGAAGGTCATTGGAAGATGAATTCTGTGTCATAAAAGACCTGAAAACCAATTTTAAAAAATAACTGACAGCATCAGAGCCTCGGTTGCATAATTTTGCACATGCGCAATGCAGTTATGTTTAGAAATAAATAAAATGAAGAAATAAGTTTCCCATGCATTATCGTATAATAAAGTACAACCATTTGAGAAAAACCAATTTCCTGTCCTGTATGTAATTGCATATGCAAAAGTGTTTGATCTGCACTTTCTTTTTTTTTTTTATTTATTTATATATTTCTTTCTTTCTTTCTTTCTTTCTTTTTTGTCTCTTTTTTTCTGATGCTTCTATTGTATTTTTCTTTTTTTTATCTCTTTTTTGCTTTTTTACTTCTTTTATCATTTTGTCTTTCTTGTGATTTGTATTTTTTCTTCTTCTACTTTCTTTGCTTCTCGATTTATTTATTGTGTTTTTACTTTCTTTCTTTCTTTCCTTATTCTTTGTTTAGTTTCTTTTTTTAAGGACAGTTTTTATCTTCTGCATATTTTTTTGTCCGGTGATTCATTTCTTCTTCTTCTTCTTCCTCTTCTTCATTGTTCTTCAGTTTTTCTTCTTCTTCTTCTTCTTCTTCTTCTTCTTCTTCTTCTTCTTTCTGTTTTTCTTTTTTACCTGGATACTTTTTTCCTTTCAGTTTTTATCTTTTTCATTTTTCTTTTTTTTAGTTGATTAGTATTTTCTTCTTCTACGCCTCTCTTTCTTTTTTTCTTTGTTTTTTATTTGGTATGTTTTTTCCCTTCACTTTATATCTCCTGCATTTTACTTTTTACTGCTGATTCATATTTTCTTTCTTCTTCTTCTTCTTCTTCTTCTTCTTCTTCTTCTTCTTCTTCTTCTTCTTTGTTCTTTTGTACTTTTTTACCTCTTTCTATTCTCATTTAAAATTTTTTTTTCTCCCCCTACTTCGTCTTCCTTCTTTCTTACTTTCATTCTTTTCTTCTTTTATTTTCTTTTGCCTCCCATTTTCTTTTCTTTTTTTTATCCTTACTTATCTTATTATTCTTTTTTTATCATTTTTTATTTTCTTTTTTCATTTTTCTAAATTTTTCTTAATATTTTCCCTTTCTTCTTTATTCGTTTTATTCTTGTCTCATTTTAAATCTTTTTCTTCATCGTTTTATATTATTTTCTCCTTCAGCGTCCATGTTTTTCTTCCTCTGCTGTATCTCTGTGTCATTTTTTCAAATAGCTTTTATGATTTTTCCATTCTTCTTTCTTCTTCACGTCTGCGCTTCTTCATCAGCTGTTTTTTTTAATTTCTTCTATTTCTCCTTCACCTCATTAACATTCCTACTTTCTTCTTCCTATCCTTTCTTCATTTTTCTATTCATTCTTCTTCCGCGCCTTTATTCCTTTTCCATTCGTTCTTTCTCTTCTTTCTTTATTTTTCCAATTGTTCTTCTTCCTCTCCTTTCTCTCTTTTTCCATTTGTTCTTATTCATCTCCTTCCTTTTTCCATTCGTTCTTCTCCCTCTCCTTCCTTTTTTTCATTCGTTCTTCTTCCTCTCTTTTTCTTCCATTTTCCCATTCGTTCGATCTTTCTTTTTCCCCATTTTTGATTATATCTTCTCTTTACTAAAGATAGCAAAACAAAATAAAATGTTTTTCTCTACGTATTTATATCCTTCTGGTCTGTTCAAAACCGCGCGCTCAAACATTAGTAACTCATTCGATTAATTCTTCCAGTCCTCTTTATTTCTTTGTTATTTTTTTATTTTATTTTTATGATTGGAAAATTCGCTTTTATTTTTACGCCATATCTCAAGAAGACATCATCTTTTGTTTTTATGGATGTAATGAAATAGGAGGGTTAATCGAGTGGAGGTTGAGAAAATCAGCTCCAAAAAATCGTCTCTCAAAAACGGCAAAAGGCTGAGACGAGTTTGTGTGCCGATGAATGTGAACTAAACATTTGTTTTTCAAAATAAAACCAGATGAAAAGCAATACGTTCGTCGTCTAATAAAGAAAAAGAAACATTTATTTTGCACAATTAAAAAGTAAAATATAAAACGTACATTTCGTTCCAACTCAAGGACAAATGGCACAGTGGATAAAGACGTTGGTTATGATCCAGTGACTAGACCCAAAGAGTTGTGAGTTCAGTACCAGACCACAGCAGTGGTGAACCAAAAACTTGGAGAGACGAGTTAAAGGGAAATAACTGAGACATCTGAGGTACGGCACGTGAAAATAGAACAGTCTACCCCGCTGGATGAAGTGGTGTGTGCGGATAGTTGGTTCGATGTTCCAGTCACCTGAGGAGGACCGGAACGTGCAACGGCCGTAACGTTGTGAATACGGCAATAAAGATGAGGGTAACAGTCTGAGTAATGTATGCAACATACAAGCATTTTAAGAAAATCTTTTCGATGTGAAATTTCTTTTAAAACTTCTTGAAGTTCTCGGCATTTCCTTACCGGAAGCACCCAAATCGGTTTTGTTGAGAACAATGCTGAGACTTAACTGCCTTTCGACAAGTTTCATTAACTGCATAAAACATAGATGGAAGACAAAAAATGAAGGCTTACAGTATTTCAATCAGCGTTCAAATTATTCGTTAAGGTCAGCAAAAACAGATGAATTGCAATGGGAAGATGACAAATGAAACTAAAGCTTTCTAGGTGTTCATGAAGGAAGTGTTTGGTCCAATAGAAAATCGATCTAATACTATTCTATCCATCAATGGGCAAACATCACTAACTGCCTCGATGGAAGAAACAGTTTAAAAGTGAACAGGTATTTGTCGAAGATGTTATTGCATCAAATACCCAAAAGACCTGAGATTTGAAATATCACTCTTGACCCTAATGTATTGACCAGTGCATAAAACCATAAAGAAAATATCATTTTCCAAAGCTGCTAATGGTATACCACTCGGGATTCTACAATTCGGTAGAAACAATCATTGATAAAGATTTAGCGATTAGTTACTGGAATAGTGGAGAACGTCCCCATGATATTAAAAATAAGTTAGAGGTTCTCAAACTTGTGTTTGCGGACACCCTACTTGTCGACATCTCCGGGCAGAGATGAAAACAAACGAACTATGCAAACAAACCTATTAGGGTGTCTATGGGGAATTTTCCCCGGGCCTATGGGCTCGGAAAAAAAACACATTAAACCGGCTTTGTGCCACATCCTGCGCTGTGGGGAGCTCGGGCAAATACTGACTTTAAAAATGTGTCTATTGTAGATTTTCGTTTCTACAAAAAGAAAATTGTTATAAGTCTTGGAAAATTCCACTTATTTGTATTTCTGGCAATATTCTCTCTCTTGATCTAAACGAGTGACGTCTGTCCTGGAAATCAATTAGTATTCATGTAATGAGCTCAACAGGAATTTGAACTTGTCTCTGCCGATTTCCCAGTCTGAGTCGACATCTAGTACACCACCAAATGACGCGACCTTGGTCACTAAAATCTTAATCTCTTCAAAAACGTTATCTATCCTACATATTTACTTTAGGTGAACATTTAATAAAAGAAGAAGATATTGTACATCTACAAAGCACGTTTACAGAATATCCTTATGTAAAAGTGCCAATTCCCTAGAAGAATGTGAAACCACCATCCATTATATTTATGCTGAGAAAGATAAAAGTTCTTAGTATCTAAGAAGTATCTTTATCCACTGTGCCAAGGACACATGGCACAGTGGATAAAGGTGTTAGTTAGATCCAGTGACAGGACCCAAGAAGGTGTGAGTTCAATACCTGGTTAAGGCAGTGGAGAACTTGAAAAATGGAATTAACAGGAGATAACTGATAACTGATTTACATTGGGCAGCGAGCGAAATAAAGGGTTCAGTTCGACATTCCAACCACCTGAAGAAGGCCGGAGCGTACAACGGCCGAAACATTGTAATAAATAGTGCGACAAAGATGTGGACAATAAATAGTGTACATAATACCCCATCTGAGAAATATAGACAGATATTGGGAGAATGTAATTGAACAAATCGATGACTATGTTGTTTAATAAAGTTAATTCTGAAATAAAAAAAAAATGCATCATCCTCATAAATACTCATGAAGACAGATGGATAAAGACGTCTGGTTAGATTCAATGAGTAGCCGCAAAGAGGTGCGAGTTCAATATCAGGCTACAGCAGTGGAGAACAAAAAGTGGAGTTAAAGAAAAATAACTGAAAGAGGTATGGCAGTGGAACTAGATTAATCCAGCTGGTTCGAAATTCTAATCACCTGAAGTCGGCCGGAGAGTACAACGGCCTAAAAATTGTGAATATGGCAATGAAGATGAGGACAACAGTCCGAATAATGTAATTAATGCAAGTAATCAAAATACCTCATCTCAGAGATGCAATCATCTGAAGAAAACCGAAGCGTACAATGGCCACAATGTTGTGAATATGGCAATGAAGATGAGGATAACAGTCCGAATAATGTAAATAATACAAGTAATCATAATACCTCATCTCAGAGATATAGACAGAGATATAGAGAGACATAGACATAAAGGCCGGAGCGTACAACGACGGAAACGTTGTGAATATGGCAATGAAGATGAGGGCAACAATCCTAATAATTTAAATAATGCATGTAAAACCTCATAACAAAGATATAGACAAAAATAAAACAAAAAACAATCAAACATTCTGAAGTTATCGAATAACATCTACCTATGTGCAGCCTTTTAACTTAAACCTCGTCGGTCTTTCTACCTTGATTGGCTCCTGTGCCTTGTACTTCTTTTATGTGTGGTGTTCCTTCAGGATGGATGTGCTTTGTGGGGTAAAGGACATCGACACAGATTCGGAGAGCCGAGTTCGAATTCCAGTCTAGTTGGTTAGATTCACTTGCGCACAAATACCCTTGGAAAAGGTATGATTCCATCACTTCTCCCCCAACTATGGGTTGAATAACAGGAGACGCTGGTTTCTTTAGCCTTGCTTGGCAATCGGTCTACCGCAGAAAGAAATGGCAACCTACCGCAGGAAAAAATCTGCATCATCAGTCATGTATCGAAAGATACATGATCGGCTAAGCGTGTATCACTGTTCCTTCAGGACATGGAATATAGTGTCTTTCCACAACTTCCTATTCTTTGTAACTCTTACTAACTTTTGTTATTTTACTGTCTCCTGTTACGGTTTTTTGGGTATATAGCATACATATAACTAGTGAGCGAGTCAAAATGACTTATTTCCCTTTATAGTCGACCAATAGAAGGTTGACCAATCAGAAGCCGCTGAACATTGTATCCGTCGTGTATAAAGGCGGCCATCTTTGTTTTCTCACCGGAAGGACCAGAAGAAACTTGTCCGGCGAACATGACAGACGGAAGAACTACGCTCTGCTACGATATCCACTGCGAACCTGCACTATGCTTTCCTACTGTCTCCGAAATATTCACTGCCAACCTCTGGATTCTATACTCGAGGACGACCGTCATGAAAATGTCTAACATCTCCCCCACCCCATCACTCGCCAAGTAAGTGGCCCTTTTAGTTTCCGATATATCTTATGAACGTCAAATTCTGCGAGCCCTTCTTCCACACGCGTCCAAGAAATTTCTGATGTTCCTTTTTGATACTGAATATGTCTTTTATGGAACCACTTTTTAAAGACGACCTCCTTACTTAGCGCGCACCATCCATGGTATTCTCAGCATCCTTCTCTCGAAACACATTTCCTTTGTTTCAAGTATCTGCTTTGTCTGTAAGGAAATTGTCCAGCATTCACTGCCATATGAGTGTATGACAATTCCTCAGGCTATTTACATTATTCAGACTATTTTCCTCATCTTTGTCGCCATATTTATTACAATGTTTAGGCCCTTCAGTATCTGTCTATATTTCTGAGATGAGGTATTATGTACACTATTTACATTATTCGAACTATTGTCCTCATCTTTGTCGCCATATTTATTACAACGTTTCGACCTTCAGTATCTGTCTATATTTCTGAGATGAGGTATTATGTACACTATTTACATTATTCGAACTATTGTCCTCATCTTTGTCGCCATATTTATTACAATGTTTCGGCCCTTCAGTATCTGTCTATATTTCTGAGATGAGGTATTATGTACACTATTTACATTATTCGAACTATTGTCCGCATCTTTATCGCCATATTTATTACAACGTTTCGGCCCTTCAGTATCTGTCTATATTTCTGAGATGAGGTATTATGTACACTATTTACATTATTCGGATTATTGTCCTCATCTTTGTCGACATATTTATTACAGCGTTTCGGCCGTTGTACGCTCCGGCCTTCTTCAGGTGGTTGGAATGTCAAAACTGAAATTTTTATTTCGCTCACTGGGGTAGACCGTTCCAGTTCCACGTTCCATGTTTAATGAATGTCAGTTATCTGTTATTTCCTGTTATTTCCCCTCTCCACGTTCTCCACTACCTTAACTGTCTTCAAGGACGCATGGCACAGTGGATAAAGGCGTTGATTAGATCAAGTGACAGGACCCAAAGAGTATGAGTTCAATACCAGGTCTTTACCTATTTTTCATTTATTCTTTTTATTAAAGGCGGAAGATTTTTTCTGTAGATA